CCTTCTAGCCTTAACCAAGTTTCAGGGGCGTATAAGAAATGTATTTAAAAAAAAAGCATCACCGTGATCGGAATATTTTATAGCAGTTGTCTACTTTGTTAAATCAGTGTTCACTTTTATGTCCTTTCACGTCATATTCTTTATTTTTGTACTATTTTTATGTAATAAAAAAAACAACGTTTTTTGTCATTTCACTTTGTATTTCTCTCTTTTAATTATTTTGATGTACTGAAAATAAAATTAAACAGTTTTTCATTCATTTCAGGACTGATGGAAGAGAGCGAGGAAAGTGAAGAACTGAGTGAGGTGGAGGAGAAACCTTTGAGTTGCTCAAAGACTAAAAATAAATTTTTAAAGGAAAGTAGAGCCAAGAAATCTTTCACATGCACTCAGTGTGGAAAGAGTTTCACAAACAAACATAATCATGAGCTTCATGTGACAGTTCATACTGGAGAGAAGCCGTTCACATGTGATCAATGTGGGAAGAGTTTCATGTACAAAGAAAGTCTTAAGATTCACATTAGAGTTCACACCAGAGGGAGGCCATTCACATGTAATGAATGTAGCAAAACATTTCTTAGGGCATCTGACCTGAAGACACACATGACTGTTCATACGAAAGAGAAGCCACATTCATGTTCTGTGTGCGGAAAGAGTTTTTCAAGGCTGCAATGTTTATATACACATGAGAAAATTCATATTGGTGTTAGAGCTCATATGTGCTGTGAGTGTGGAATGACATTTATTCATGTGAATCATTTAAAACAGCACCAGAGAATTCACACTGGAGAAAAACCTTACAAGTGTTCACACTGTGACAAGAGATTTAGTCGGTCTTCAAATCTGAAAGCACATGAAAGGATCCACAATGGAGAAAAACCTTACATGTGTTCACACTGTGACAAGAGATTCAGTCAGTCAGAAAGTTTGAAAGCACATGAGAGGATCCACACAGGAGAGAAACCGTACACGTGTGATCAGTGCAGGAAGAGTTTCACTGTTAAAAGTCACCTGAAGCCACACATGAGGATCCACACTGGAGAAACACCTTACATGTGTTCACACTGTTCCTTGCGCTGGATGGTGACATCACTAGGCTGCAGATTCTGATTGGCTACAGTGTCTGGTGGGGAGGAGCCTGTGGTAGAGAAGTTATACTGTCATTCTTCTCATTGGAGGTCAAGACTAAGAAAATAACAAAATGTTCATGTTTCATAATCAAACATTAAAAATGATTTTGCTAAGTGTGTAAATGAGTCTTAAACTAGAACTGTGTAATATTTATTTCCACTTGAATGAACACTACTGCAATCCTTTAAAAAAAAAAATCTAAATCAGTATGAAGGTATTTTGTGTCTTTATTTAAACAAATCGGTGCTCTCTGACAATTTGATACAAGTGATACTTTAATTTGATACTCCTGTAGCATCCGTGCAGCATCATTGTAGTACAATGTCTGATAATTCTGCTTGAAATTAACTGTCTTGGCTAATTCGTCTGTCCGCAAAAAATATAGAGCTGAGTATCATCAGCATAACAGTGAAAGCTAACACCATGTTTCCTGATGATATCTCCAAAGGATAACATGTAAAACATGAAAATCAACGGTCCCAAAAAATATAGAGCTGAGTATCATCAGCATAACAGTGAAAGCTTAACACCATGTTTCCTGATGATATCTCCAAAGGATAACATGTAAAACATGAAAATCAACGGTCCTTGTACTGAGCCTTGTGGTACTCCATACTGCACTTGTGATATGATACCTCTTCACAGTGCACACACAGGTTTGTTTCACTATAACAACATCTCATAGCATAGGCTTTCACTATTTTATGTCAGGTTTATAATACTTTTTATGATACTTTTTATCTAAAATAACCAGGTGTTGGCTGTTTGCGCTGTGCCGATCGATCGTTATATAACATCAAAGTACCGTGAGAGCTATAGAGAGCAGTCCAGGTGCAAAGGCCAAGCAGAATGAGGCAACTGAAAGGGCCTGCAAGTCTCCTACTCTTTTCACTGAGGTTAATGTTAGCAACAGAACCACTTAAAGGTTAGAAACTCCTCTTATGCTGACTCCAAAGGCTCAAATGGGGCATCTGATAAACCTATAGAAAGGACTTTATAAATATCACAGGGAAAGGAATCTTGTTGAACAGATAGGCCTCAGATGTCTGGCACCACATACAAAACAAGATACTGGAGCTGCTTTTAAGTCTTATTTGTATGCCCTTCCCTCACTATCTTCTCTCCATCTTAATTACATAGATATATGCTTAGATATTCTTATGCCCACTACTGGCAGAACCCTTAAGATATATGTTTAAATGGAATGCCCTAAGCCCTTGATCACTTGAAATCCCCTGCTTGAAGTGTACATATCGAGTAGACTCGCTTCCTCTGCTAATAGCGGTGTTTTGACACAATCTGTATTGTTAAAAGCGCTATATAAATAAAGGTGACTTGACTTGACTTGACTCTGTCAAAATCGAGGGGTCAAGAGTCTGTCCAAATAAACTTCCCTCACCTACATGACAAAGTTGAATGCACTTCAGGATGGCGGCAGGTATTCCCCCAAGGTGAAATGGTTAGTATAGTTCAAGAGTGTATGTCTAAAAGCGGAGTTAGATGCAGCATTGGGAAAGATTCCCTAATGAGGCACACCCAGTAGGCACATGCCCAGCAGCAAAAGCTGCCACTTATACATACTTAAGTGTACCAGGGGTCAACCCTACTGACAACCCCTCTTAGAGAAACTCCAGCACTGGAATAAGCGGACAGTGTAATGGGTTTAGTCACGCTGCACCAAGATTAAAAGAGTTGCCACTTCAAAGCATACAGTCCCCTTGTGAAGGCAGCTCTAGCATTGAGAATGGTTTCAACAGCCTCAGTCGAGAGACCAGACTTTAGAAGTGGGTCCCCCTCAGAGGCCAACCCACAGTTTCAATATCACGGGTCAGTGGTGGCCAGTAAAGGCCAGTCTGAGACAGAATTTCAGGAGAGGTATTAGACTCTACAGCACAGTTTCACCATCCAGCTAGGTTCATCAACAATTACCCCATCAAGTTCTGTCAAAAATCTTTGGCGTAATCTTTGATGACCAGCTGACCTTCAAGGACTACACTGCAAAGACAGCTTGATCATGCAGGTTTGCATTGCACAACATCAGGAAGATCAGGCCCTTCCTAACAGAACGAATTTCAGGAGAGGTATTAGACTCTACAGCACAGTTTCACCATCCAGCTAGGTTCATCAACAATTACCCCATCAAGTTCTGTCAAAAATCTTTGGCGTAATCTTTGATGACCAGCTGACCTTCAAGGACTACATTGCAAAGACCGCTTGATCATGCAGGTTTGCTTTGCACAACATCAGGAAGATCAGGCCCTTCCTAACAGAACATGCTGCACAATTTGTTGTCCAAGTGCTTGTCATTTCTAGGCTGAACTCCTGCAATGCTTTTCTGGCTGGACTTCCATCATGCACAATCAATCCTCTACAAATGATTCACAATGCAGCAACACGCCTGGTCTTAAATGAGTCCAAGAGAGCTCATGTCACACCTCGCTTTATCTCTTTACACTGGTCACCGGTTGCAGCTCGCATCAAGCTCAAGACATTGATGCTTGCGTATAGAACAGCCAAGGGCTCAGCACACTCCTACTTCAACTCACTCTTATGAGTCTACACCCCCTCCACTACAAGTGAGCGACGCCTCGTGTTACCATCACAGAGGCATAAAATCAGTTTCCAAAACCTTTCCATTCACATTCCTTGCTGATCTTCCCACCACCATCCAGAATGACGAATTCATGACAATATTCAAGCAACAGCTGAAAACTCATCTCTTCCATCAACATTTGACTACATCTTAATAAAAAAAACTATGCTTTCACTTTTACTCACCCTGTTCTAGCTCGTACTGAACAATGTCTGAAACTTTGTATTACGAGCACTTCCTGTGCTTTCTTGCCCCAAGGATCAAGCAAAATGCTAAAATGTTAGAAATATGATTGCAATGTGCTAAAACATGTTAACAATGTGTTAAACTAGAAACATTTTAGCAACATACTAGCCATACTCCATATATATTATGTATTTTTAAGCTATGGTAATTGATTTTTAGAATAGAGATCAAGGTTCTTCCACGATTCTGAAAACAATACATTAGACAACCAGACAAAATAAGACAACCAAACAAAATAATTAGTCTGTTTACAAATGTCTAAAATGTTATAAATGAATCTATTTAATTATTATGTAAAAAAATCATTTTAAATAAATGAAAACTTGTTTTTGAACAAATCTCTTTAATGAATGATTCAGGCATCAGGTACATTTTAACAGTCACTGGTCACCACCTCCTGCTGGCATAATGTTACATTTATCATCTTTATTTGAAGTGTAACTTTATTTCCAAAGGTCAATTACTCATTTTGATTGTGGCTGCCGCAACATATATATAT